CGGGCCGGCCGCCGTGCCTGCTGGCTGCACGCTGGGTGTGTGACTCGGGGGCCGCCTGCAGATGGTTTTGTCGGGGGGATGCCGGGGGTGCAGGCGCTTCCTGGGTGGCTCTGCTTGGGCCCCCTTGCCCCGGAGGTCAGGGTGCATCAGTTGCTTCCCGGCAGCGAGCTGGGACGAGGCAAATGGCAAGTTGTTCCTGATTCCAAGTGAGGCACAAATGGCAGGAAAAGTGGAGCAGGAGGGAATTAAAAGGCCTCTTCTCCCTTTGTGTTCTTGCTGGGAGAGGGAAGGAGGTGTACTAGCGGTTGCCTGTGGAGGGTTTGTGAGACCGGGCTGCGAGCACCTCTCGCTGTGTGTGTGGGGTGCAGGCAGCACCAGTGGGGTCCCTGCCTGTGCACCCTTGACTAGGGTCACAGGGGTCCACTTGGGATGCGATCCCTGGGCACCGCTGGGACCGGCCTTGAGTGGTGGTGGAAACACATTACTTTGAGTGGGTGAGAGATTTGGGCTTTCGGTGTGCTCTGGCATTGCCGGGGTATGCAGCCCGGGATGCCAGACCCGCCAGTGCCAGCTCAGGCTGCGTGAGGGGGGTCTGCTGTGGGGGATCCTGGCAGGGATACGCACACATGCTGTCGTCGGCCATCTCCCTTGTACCCCTGGAGTTAGGAAATGCCCCGGGGCAGCTGTCTGTTGCCCAGAGGCGTGCGGTCAGGCTTTCAGGAGCCGGGGGCTGCAGCACCTTCTGCCTCAGAGGATGCCTCTGGCCGCCCTGCTCCCAGCGAGATGCTGTTTTCATGAATAAAGAATGAAGGAGGAAGCACGGGGCGGATCCCCTGGGAGCACATTCCGGCTCGCCCTGGCAATGCTGCTGCACCCTTTTTTCGCATTTCCAGCCTGCCTGGGGAGAGTTTGGGAGGTGCCCTGGCTCTCCGGGGGGGCTGGCCATGCTTCCAGCAGCCGCGGGATAAGTAGGCGAAAGAGAGGCAGAGGTAACAGCTGAGACACAAAAGCAAGACCCGCCTGCTGTCAGCAGGGATGCAAACTAACAGAGGGTTTTTTCCCTTTGATGCTAAGTCTGTGGGCTGTGCTCGTTGGCGCGCTCTCCTCCATCCCTCTGCACCACCATCCAGCTCCCAGCTTCCAGCGAGCTGAGGCTCTTCCAAGGGTGGGCCGGGGCAGCAGCCCCTGGGAGTGCGGCGGGGCGGTGTGGAGGGATGAGCTCCTGCTGCAGAGAAGCACCTGCTCCCTTGTGCGCTGACACATTCTTGGGTTTCTTTTGGAGTTTGGAGGGAACATCTGCTTTGCTACAGCCGGGAGATTGCGATGGAGCCGTCAGAGTGACTCCGCCAGTGGGACGCTCCAGCAGAGCCCCTCGGCCGTAGCTGATACCCGGGCAGGGATGGGCAGCCTCCTGCCTGAAAGCCTGTGCAGCCCTGCCGTGGGGTGCAGTGTGGCCAGCTGGGCCTACCAGTCGTGCTGCCCGTGAAAGGGGCAGCAATTTGCAGAAAAGAAGCATGTGCAGCCTGGATGCAGGTGAACCAGGGTCCGAGAGGGCTGTGGGGTCCCAGGCTTTGCAGAAACAAGGAAATCCCAGGGATGGTCCAGAGCCAGGGGTCATAAAAATGAAAGTGGGTGTCAAGCCCCCTCATTTGCCTGGGCTTCACGGGCTGTCCCCCCAGCCTGTGAGGGATGCAAGCTGCTTTATCCCCCAGCCCATTTTGTAGTTAAAGCCAAATGTCTTTTCCTTTCCTGCAATTCCCAGAGGCTCTGAGGGTGACACCAGCAAGGCAAGAGCCGGGGCCAGGCACCCGATCCTGCCATGCCACGGCCCTGGTGGGCATGGCGGGGCGGGGAGCGGCACAGTCCTGCCAGCTGCTTTCTGGGAAGGTCTCCCTGGTGCCCCCCAGCCCCATTTGGCTACCAAATCCCCCCCTATAATTTTCTCCATGCTGCATGGAAGCGCTGGTCTTGCTCTGCACAGGTTCACTGCAACCTCTGCCCTCGCTCTGCCCCCCAGCTGTGCGTGCTGATCGGATGCGTGGAGGGAGGAACAAGTTTGGACCCATGTACAAGCGGGACCGTGCCTTAAAGCAGCAGAAGAAAGCTCTGATCCGTGCCAATGGCTTCAAGCTGGAGACCGTGCCTCAGATCATGTCCCCGGTGCAGAACGACTACAGCCTGTCCTCCACCATCCACAGCATTCACGCCATGTCCAAGACTTTGCCGCCCAACCCCGCTGCCCTGACGCCCGTCGACTATGAGCGCAACCCATACGGGACGCCGTCCCTGGGAATGACTGTGCCCAGCCACGCGCCACTCGCCGGCTACCACTACTCCTCCTTCCCCAACCGCACCATCAAGTCCGAGTACCCGGACCACTACACAAACGCACACGAGTCCATGCCCGCCTACGTGTACCCAGAGACCTACCCCAGCAGCTCCCCCCCCGACATCCCTGAGGTCATCCTGAAGCTGCTGCAGCTGGAGCCCGATGAGGCCCAGGTGAAGGCGCGGATACTGGCCTGCCTGCAGCAAGAGCAAGGCAAAGGCCGGCACGAGAAGCTCAGCACCTTCGGCCTCATGTGCAAGATGGCTGACCAGACCCTCTTATCCATCGTGGAGTGGGCACGGAGCTGCATATTCTTCAAGGAGCTGGAGGTAGGAGCCTGGGTTGGGGGGGAGGGATGCTGCTCTGGGCAGGCGGCGGGAGGCAGGTAGGACTGGGGCTGAAATGCCGTGAGGATGGGATGCTGTAATGGGCAGGACTGGGGCTGAAATGCCGTGAGGACAGGGCAATGCCCGTGGGCACGAGCCCTGGGCCGCCAGCACTGCAGATGTGCTGGTGCATCCCCATCCCACTCCCGGCTCCCCACGCGGCAGGGCTTGGAGGC